GTGCCGCCACCCAGGCTTCTCTCTCACAGAATATCTCAGATTTATTTGAACTCCCCTTTTTTGCAAGCTTGCAGAGGTTGCAATTGAACCATTATGGGGTGAGATAATTGATTCTGTATTAGTCATCAGGAGGGATGAAATAACATCCAGGATGGCCGGAATGACCGGGAAACTGCCAACCTCCTCCGCGTTCTTACACATTTCGCAGAGCGTCGGCCAGACGGACAGACGAAGGATTTTTTTTTTTTTTTTCAGACTTTGCCGGACGTCCCGGTGCGCTGACAGTGAGCGAGGGTCTCCGAGCTGTCACCGCGAGACATCCTCTAAAGAGCTGAACGTGCAGCTGGAGCGGGCCTCGGGGAGAACCACGCCCCGTTCTGTTTGCTTTGGCAAACCTCAGCGCCTCTTAGGAAGTATTACTGTGTTATTCAGCACAGCCAGCAGCTCACTCTATTTCATCCTGCTCCCTACGCAGAGCTTCGGTCTGAGTTACTGCTTTATCCTCGGCCAAAAAAAGCCTTAAAAGATTTGTACATTTTGATGTCGATACGTCCTGGTCCAGAAAAGCCATAAAGTTTATCAGTTGGATAACGGAGCTCGTAAAGATGGTATTTTCCTCCAGTGGTGGCAGATTAATGGTGTCACTCACGTTGTCTTTTTGTCATCATTGACATTTTTACAAAATATTTCACAGTTTCTTCTGCATCTAAGGTCACGTGAGCAACAGAAAACTACAAGTTACAGCCATGTTTTTTTTCCTTCAATTCAAACAATCTCCACTGAAATAAGAAAAATGTAACGTTAGATATAGTTACAGCTAGAAAAACAAATGCAAAATGCCACATTTCTGCCAATATAAAGCCAGAATATTTAGAGTATACAGCAGTGGTAATCAACTAGTGGCCCACGGGCCAAATTTGGCCCACCAAACCATTCAATCCGGCCCAATACTGGATTCCAAAATTGCGAGTATCAAAGAGCAAATAACGTGGGATCTCCGCTATTACAGATAACTCTCAGTAAACCCCACGATTTATGATTTTTACTTCATTTTATTTGAGTGTCCGCCCCTAAGGTGTCTGTCCAGGAACATTCTGGCCCCTCGATAAATACAGTTGTTGACCCCTGGTATACAGTTTAGCTGAAAAACATCGATAAATTTTGCAGATATAAATTGCCACAAAATTAGCTAAAAACACCAGGAAAAAACAAAAAACTGAATCAATAATTTTGCAGATACAAATCTCCACAAAATTAGCTAAAAACACCAGGAATCATTCCAAGAGGTAGGAAGAAAAATAGCTGCTTCATAATCCTTCAGAGAAAAAAAAATCAAATCTAAGAAGAAATGTTCCTAATAATGACCAAAGTCATGACCAAGGTAAGAAAACTAGGGTAAAGGTAACCCAAAGAAAGCTTAACATGAGCTAATGGTTAGCTTCTGAAACCCTGACTCGACTCCTGGGAGCTGTTTGAAAGATAATCCTGTTTGGCTTCTTCAGTGATGGAAATACACACTCCTGCCGATGTGTTATGGCGGTGGTGGACCGTATGTGCGTTGGAAAGAAATCTCCAGGCATTTGTGTGACGTTGACAAGTGGTTTATTGTTTATTCAGCATGAATGGTGAACAATCTGTCATTTTTTAAAATCTTTCTACAGAAGGCAATCAAGCACCACAAATAACAGCGCTTTGATCAAACAGTTTCTTGGACAGCGAGCGTCAGAAAATTACGTTTTCTTAAATCACCCCCCCCCACACACACACACACACATACACACAGAGTCGTGAACGTCTCACACATTACCATGTCTCTGCTCTCCATATATTACGCACAAATGACAGGAGAACAAAAATACTTGGACTCTGTTGTCAAAAAACCTTCTCCCCTTGTAATTCCACATTCGTCGTGGGACTTTCCTCACGGCTCGCTTTACATGTTTTTATGACATAAGCTGTATTTCAGGTACCAGGGACGTGTGTTGTACCTGCAGTGCAGTTCAGACAGGGATACATGGCAATGACTGTGATGTGATGAACAGGTCGCAGGGTTCAGTTCATGACTCCCTAATGTTGAATTGGGTTCTTTGGTTTGTACCGTACTTTCAACCAACAATCATTTACTTTTCAGTCTCTAGATGATTTAAAAAACAGTTGTAGAATAACTACAGATAAAAACACTGTATTTATATTTAGCTTTTGGCTTGACTTTTTTTGATCAGAGGCATGAGCCAAAATAGGCTAAAAATTACAAGACACTCAAAGTCTAATTATAAATAGCATTAAAAGATACTGTACGTGTCATTTGCTAAGCTAAGCTGAAGCTGATGTTGCACAAGCGAAACTTAGCTTGAATAAGCCGCAAAGCTTGGAATCAAATTGTTGTTTGTTTTATGTTGTCTTTGTGGCCTAGCTTGGCCAAGATCGCTATACGTTTTTTTAAATTTAGGAGTACGGAGGATTTTACGCTAAGAAATGCAAAGCTTAGCCAAACCTAAATGAGCTAACTCTCCTCAGCTAGGAGTTCTGCCTTTTGCAAAGCTGTGCTAAAGTAAGCTTAGCCGAACTTGGTAACTACTAGCTTTAGCCTTATGCTGCTTTCCAGTAAACCTTTAATTCAGATATATTAACATACAGCAGTGTGAGTTCTTTCACACAGTTAAGATGTGTTAGCAGAAGCTAACTGAAACTAAGTGAATGGAGCAGTTATGAGAACAAAGTGTGACAATAAAGATTGTTGAGTTTTGAGAAGCATGTCATTGTTTTAATTAGACAGATATTAGCGTAGGATGGACTGTCTTAAATTTTCATTAAAAAAATTGGCAGTTTATGGCCAGTTGGAAAAGCTAAATTTTCATTAAAAGAATTGGCAGTTTATGGCCAGTTGGAAAATTTATTCCAAACCATGTGTCAGGATTACTACTTTTGGGTTTGCTTGCTAACAGGAAAACGATAAAAAGTTGCTTTTTTATTAGATTAATTTTTAGCTAATTTTACGCCACAAACTGAAGCTAATTTTTGGCTTGTGGGCAAAAAAGTGATGATTCCACTGATCAGCAAATCTTTCATTATGTAATTTAAATTTGTTTTTACTGTGACTTCTGTCCTGCATTTAGGGGGCGATCATCATACAAATAATTAAAAAAAAACATTCACAGTATTCCATCAAGTATTTTGGTATCAGGGGATTGACGGTATATTGATAACTTACAAAAATAATTTTTTTTTGTTTTTTTTTTTGGACAATGATTTGTTTTTCCTTCCTATTTCTTCAAACTCTCACTGCATTCACAGATTTTCACACAGATACATTTTCTCGATTACACTACAACCTTGTTATAGGAGCGTACAAATAAAAACACTATTAAAACGTTGGCCTCTAGGCTGTGCAAAAGGGAAGACCTCCATTGTAAAGCTGTCCGTCCGTCCGTCCGTCCGTCCGTCTGTCCATCCGCCTCCCGCGAGTAACAAACTACAAAATAGCACCATTATACAGTGAATAGGATTCTTAATACAGTTTCTTCTTATATGAAACCATCATGTACAATGAATGATGAATAGCAATGCATAGGTTAACATAAATGGGAGCAGGATTTGATTATACACAGGCAGAGGAGGCGGAGCTAGACAGAGACCGCGATGCCGAGCGCGATTTGTGCGATCCAAACGACGACCGTGTGTTCCGTATGGAGGCCAAAAAAAACAACTGTTGGTCCGAGGACTTTCTTGGAACTTGAATTTGGTGTGTGTGTGTGTGTGTGTGCATGTGTTTGTTTGTTTGTGTGTGTGTGTGTGTGCTTGACCTTTGCCCACAGTTACACAACTTTCAGTGGAACTGGGTGCCTGTTCTGTATGCGTGCCGTGTCTCGTCATATCCCAGAGGGACATGTTGTTCTGCTTTGTACTGTAATGTATTTTTAAACGTAGAGATTTTCTCCAGTGGACTCTGCAGTGGATTTTTTTTTGGTGACAACGTGCTAAATAAAGCAGCTCTATGCCTTCTTTATCTAAAAAAAGAAAACATCACAGGCCAAAGCACATAAAATTCCGATTCAGAAGCATCTCTTTAGTTCAGCGCGTGTGCAAGGAAGATTTGATCCGAGTGTCTTTAGTGTCCGTTCACTAAACTTCACCGCTGACTCGTGCCAAAACCTTTGACCCCACTTTGAGTAAATGTTGGTTATCAGGAAACTAAGCTGTTGACAGAAACCAGATCTGGTCACAGTGGTGACATGTGGTGAAACAGTTGTGAACACTGTGCTGGTGATGCCAACTGCACTTTGAATCCTCTCAGTGACCCACGTCTGCACCACCTGCACCAGAATCGCACTAAATCCAGAGAAAAAAACAAAACAAACAAACAACAAAAACAAAACAAATAGTTTGTGTACCTCTGGTACCTTCATTTTCTGATAAGTGCTGGATTTGTTTTGATACAAATGTTCAGATTGTGGAGTTTTAGATTTGTCTCGAATTATTTTTTTTTACAAATTTTATCCCGCAGTGATTCACACAAATGAAGTGTTTCTTTTTGAGAGAAAGCTAAAAATATCTCAAACGAAATGAAGAGCCGTGTGTTGCACTAATGAAGCCAACCTCTGTTAAAAATACTCTTAAAAAGGTAAAATGACCAGACTGTAACCTGCTGAATCCACTCTCCCAGGAGGTTTTTTAATATTTTTTTTTTTTTAACTCTGGGACTACCGGGAAACGCTCATATTCAGCCCGCTGCTCTCTGATTGGCTCAAGCCCCCCCGATCCGTTCCCACCTTTCCTGAAGCCAAGGGAAGCTGCGGCTCACACATGGGAGAGGTGTGATAAGCTCTGGTTTGTGTCTCAGCAGCTAAAACTATTCTGTTACATCGTGATAACAAAGAATTCCTTTCGGTATGGAATCGTGCAGTGTATAAAGATCCCTCGCCTACGTTTGAACACCGCCCTCTATCGTAAAGAAGAGCCTTTTCCGATCATTGTTAGCATCTTCTGGGTTTTTTTGTTTCGTTTACAGTGAACCGTTCCACAGGGATACCAGGTAAGGCCACTCCCTTCACTCCACCCCAGTCACTGGGCATTTGTCCATTTGCACCTTTCCTACATTCTGTAATTTCTGCCCCCGCTGTTGCCTCGACTGGAGTTTTTCTGATGCACTTCCTGCGAGGAGAGAAAAAAAAACAAAGCAAAGCTGTTAGAAAAACACGGGAAAAATAAGGCCATCTTTAGACAAAGACTTTTACAAAGTACGGTTTGTGACGATGTAGTTACTTACAAAGTACGGTTTGTGACGATGTAGAGACGTCTTTACTCAGAGGACGACAAAGTGAAACTGAAAGTACGACACCTGAGCGGTCTACTGTCGTAGCGACCCATACATGGATGTAGGTCCAGCGATGCTTTAAAAACATCAGCTATGTATCAGATATTGAAGCCAATCTCATTTGGCAAAGCTCTGATTGGTTCGAAAAAACCGATATGGTACAAATCCCGTTTGTGCCGCTGCAGTGTGAACAAAGTCTCGTTATGAACGTCCTGCTGTGAGTGAGATCAACGCTGCAGTGGGCCACACCACAGCCCATAAACCAGACCAATTGGGTTAATGACATGTTAGACCACTGCATGCAATGACACAGCACGCACGACAGCGAGCACGCGCCATCTTTACGACTTCGCATGCGTCATTCCGTTGTGGTGAGACGCCAGGATTTCAGCACATAATGTAGAGCACTGTCTGCTGAGCCAGAGTGCCACTGGGCCTCCACAAAAACCACTTAGTTCCTCCTCTCACTAATGGTTTTATTTTTTAAAGAGAAGAAGGTGAAGGGAAAAAAACAAAACAAAAAAAATAAAAACAAACAAACTGCACAGTCAAGTTCTTAAAAGGTTCACTCTCCCTCTCGCTGGTTGGGAATTGGAGGATGACTCTGCATTCAGAGATCAGAGCATCGCTGTTTGGCCAAGAGATTAGGGGTTTAAAGAAATAAATCCTGTGCTGGGTTTAAAACACACCGAAAATGTCAACGCGGGGATCATGTAGTTGACGAGGGTTTACAACCGTAAAGCCACAGCACCAGCGCAGCAACAGTATCATCTGGATACATACCTTAAAGGACGAGTGACTATGTCCAGGTAAAGGTCTCTGTGGGGGGAAATTCAGGACAGTTAGCTACAGAGAGTGTACTGTTACCACTACTGACAACTGTATAACGTGGTCTAGAGTGATCGGCTGTTGATACCAATCACATGTCTGGATTCTGACTGATACCTAATGCTAATGCTAAATATTAGCAATCAACTCTTTTTACCATAAACTAATTCTTAACAGTAAACATTTAGTTTTGCTAAATATTAGCAATCAACTCTTTTTTTTTTGCACCTCTCCTCCTGGGAATCAGCCTCAGAGGTCTCTCTTACCGCGACTTCGGCACGACGATGTCATAGTCTAGCACCTGTTATCAAGCCACTCTGCTTCTCAAGCTAGCGTGTAGCTAGCTAGCGTATAGAACGTTGGCATGAAAAAGTTTAGGAACCCCTGTGTTAGAGGAACAGTAGGTGGATGGAAAGTGGAATTATGGGATGCACAATGTGCATCATTCTGCAAACTCTGTTCAAGTACGTTAAAATGATCAAAGTTACACGTTAATTTTGTTAGCTTTAATCATAAGATATTTGAATTATGTTATAACTTAATTGCAATTGAATGATCAAAGTTACACATTAATTTTGTTAGCTTTAATCATAAGAAATTTGAATTATGTTATAACTTAATTGCAATTGTTGCAATAAAATTTGTCCAAAAAACCATTTGGTAACTCTTAGCTTAGTAAACTTAGCGATTAATCGTGAGGTAGCTATCGACCATCACAGATTGGTCTCCAAGAAATATTCTGATTGAAATTATTCAACTTATTACTGTATGGATGTCCTAAAGTCACGATCAGTAATGAAACAGAAATGCTAAACTGCAGTCGCACATGTCGTTATGGGAAGAGAAGGTATTGTTTGTGGGTTCAACAACCTACCGCAGCGAGACAGACGACTTCACTGGCTTGTTGACACAGTGTTGATAATTAATGGAAGAAGTGATGAACTGAGTGTAGAATCATCCCTAACATTTGATGTCAGGACGAGGCCTCACCAAGGAGGAGCACTTAGAGAGGACGCTGTGATATAAGATGCTGGATGTGCTCAATAATTTAGAACAGTCTGAGGAGGATGTTATGAAAGCTGTCTTCTTGTTGAAATTTTACACTTAATGGACAGAGATGTGAGTGGTATCAAACTTTCCCCGACCCAAGAGAGGTTCAGCGCTGGCCCTCACCTTCTTGTTTTTTGTCTTTTCTGGCTGCTGCGCTGTCCTGCGCTCCTGGCCTTTGTCCGCCTTGTGCCCTGGGGTGCTGACCTTTGGTGCTCTGGGGAGGTCCGTGTGGCGCTGTGCGCGCACAGAACGAGCTGCTTTGCCAGTCTTGGCTGGCGCGCAGTACATCTCCAGGCGCCGCAGCTCACAGCTTTGGAAGCAGCACTCGTCCACGATGCCACGAGACCGCCGTGAGTTAGGGCCATAGCCTGTTGGTTTGCCTTTTGGAGAGAGGAAACAGGAGGAGAAGGAAAGTTTAGGGGGGCGGTGGTGATCTTCTACAAACTGCTTAGGAACTGCAGTAGTGACTGAGCTAACGACTGATCTACTACAGTTCACCATATTACTGTTACTACCGTGACACCAGCCTCGTCAGAAAAACTAGGTTTGTAGGTTACATTTCTACAGAAGCTTGTTTAGCATTTAGCTAAAGTCAATAATGTTTCTATATTGAATGGCAGCTTGTATGGAAGCTAACATGCCAATCTGGGCTACAGTATTTGATGAGTAATGTATGTACAGTACTTGAAGTGCAACCTAAACTTTATATGTTGATAAAACTTTGGCAGCAGTACACAAAATAAATAAACACCTGCTAGCATATGCAATTATGTAATGCAGCCTTTATCTACACAACGTGGAAAAAAACATTAATAATAATAATAATATAACGTTTACTTTGGGCTACATAGATCTTAATCTCTGTAGTTTACATTGGGCTACATAGATCTTAATCTCTGTATCTACACATGACAGATGTTTATCCAGTTAGCACGTTTGCTAACTGAACAAGTTGGCAAACCATTTGGGAGCATTTGACCCTAATGCTACTATATCGACGTAGGCTACATGACCTCCTATGTCACCCTACGCCTTAGAAATCAAACCATACAAAGATGGAGTTTTTGGACAAATGGGTGAAACATTCAATAAAACGTCTGGTCCGTCCTTTCACATTAGCCCAGGCCTAGACAGGAACGGACCCTACGGGCCCAGTTCAGAAAGATGTCAAGTAGGTTCCTGTGGCTATGGGGCCAAACATACTTGTAATAAAAGGGTGATAATGGCAAGGATATGGGTCTGAGTCCAGTGACACATAAACAGCTTTAATGACACTGATTTTTTTTTCTTTTTCATATAAAATTTATTGTGTATCATTTTGCACACTGCGGACCATATTCTGGCAGCTGTGTCTGCTATTAAAGAGAGGCTGTCAAAGTCACCCGAACAGAATGTAAAGCAACACCGTTCTGGCGCAGGTACTTCTCCCACAGATTCACAGGAAGGACAAACCATGGGCCCTATGGGCCTCATCAGTCTGCAGAACAGCTAGGAACTCCCTCAGGCCACATTCCTGTCAGCTATGCGTCAATGTTCATTCATATTTTCATTTGGCAGGAGCGGGAACAACCTGAACACTTAGGACAGAGGTATGATAAACATTTGATGCCAAGGAATGTCTACATCATTAAGGCCCGGGGTCCAAGCAGACTGGGTCACAGCGGGATTCTTTTTGGTCTGTCGCAGTCTGAATCATGCGCCGGTGTCACATTTGGCTTTTTGATTCAATGACAACACCAACAACAGCTTCACACTGTGTTGGTGGCCTTTTGACAAAGTCACCTACAGGAATACAGTCCTGATGGGCTTCTCTCTGTTACCAAATGGAATAATAATAATTTAATATGGCATTTACAAGGAGGAAATGCCTTTCCCTCTTCGAGTTAATGGCTCTTGGCTCAGCGTCCTGCCAGGGCTGACAAAGTGCGTTAACTTCTGCACTCTGTCTGCCTTGTCCTGACGAGGCTTTTTTGGATACAGTGAAGCTTTCATTCAGAAACTGAAGCATCCTCCGCCACGGAACAGGGGACAATAAAGAGGCTTTTATGGTGCACATCAACTGATCCTAAAATACACTACGCAACTGCATTATTCATGGAACAGGGAAAGTGGTCCTCGGAAGATATTAGCGCTTTCGATACGACGGGGTCAAAGAGAATATCAACATATCTAAAAAAAATATATATTTCCTTTTTAAGACCTGTTTCCCATTCATATCCAATAAAGCCTTGCAAACAAATGTATACCATTATTCTGAAAATAGCCTACAGGCTAGCAGCACAGACAGCTGTCGGAGGAGGAAAATCAGCCGGTGAAATGTAGGGTAATCAGATCAAGCATGTTCAAGGAAGACACGCATATGCAGTAATGGCTTTGATTGCATGGATCACTGCTCTAATCCCTGGTGAACCACCAGGTTATTTCCTCAGATTGTTGATAAACACATGGGGATATTCAGTTTTGCTATTTCAAATGGGGATATTTGGGAAAAAGGACACAGAGATTATTCGTCAACTGACGAAGCCCAATGACGATGGAAGGGTTTCAGTTCAGATTAAAAAACATGTGTCAGCATTTCAGCCGTCGTTAAGACGGTACAGCTGTGTCCGGTTGGCTTTAATACCAGTGATTCATGTCGGGTTGAAAATGAAGGTTTCGTAGATTGACGGTGGATATCGATGGACCCAGATCTCCATCCAGGACACTGGCCGTAGTATTAGTCATCCAATAATACAGTGCAATCATCCATGACTGGATATTCCATCGGGGGGTGCAGGAGAGCTGGATTTCAGTCCTATTCTAATTGTTGGGGTTTACCCCGGACATTGCCGGTAGTACTTGTAGTTACGTTTGACTTGGATTAGTAATCTCAAGTCCTAGTCCCAATTGTTAGCCTAAAGAATGCTTTAAAAGTGAAAATGAGTTAGCGATGACGCTCAGACTGCAAAAAAATCTTTGAACAACAACATGTAAAAAAAAAGGTAGGTCAAAACTTAGGTCAAGGCTGCAGCATCCATACAGAACTAAAGAAGCAGCCGCTCCGAGCCTCATGAATAAAATCAAATAAGTGTCAAATTATAAGAACAGCTGCAGAATCTTTTTTTTTAGTTTTTTAGTTTTGCATGTCAGAGATTGTTTCATGTCTGGATCGGGTTCATACCTCTTGTGGTTTTTAGAAGCCAGCCACTCAAAAACTACCAAGTACTAATGAATGTTTTCTGCTCACTGGGCTCAAGAGGGAGTAATGAGCCAGTATTAATTTTGCATTCTTACGTGGGGTGACCCAGAGTTGATATTCAGACTTTATGTGAAGTATATTTGAGCTTTGTTAAAGAATCAGGACGGACATGCTCGGTTGATCGCCTCTTCTTCAGTAATGACACCTGCACAGCTGAGGTCTTTTATGAGACCTGGGAAGACTTCCCAGGTTCACAGGGGTAGCTTTTTTTCGTACAGTTGTCTTGCTGCACAAGTGGTTTGAACATTTTGTCTCTTAATACGATCTGGCATATTTTCCTTTTTCCATGGCTCTTCCTTGCATTTGAAATAAATTGTATCTGCCCTGAATCCAAAGTGAGTACAGCTGCTGTCCACCCAAAGCGAACGGGCAGGCGATACTCCGAATCCTCTCCTGAGAGGTTGGTACTATAACGTTTATGGAGTCCCAGTAAAGTACGTCTTTAAATGGTTTATATTAGATGTTAATCAGTCATCAGATTTATATCCAAGGCACATAGAAATGCAATGAAGGAAATCTACGGTGGATGACTGAATTCTCCAGGAATGTCGTGGAGAATTTTATCTGACAATGTAATCGTACCTGCTCCACGAGAACTACCCGGCTAGCTGGATGTTTTTATTGATCTGACTAATGATTACTGTCTGAGAGCCAATAAGATTTTAGAAACAGATTTCCTGAGCACCTGTTCACTCATGACTAAGTAACAGAAGCCACATGTCCAACGTGACCTCAATGACTTCATACCTCTGTAACGTGTCAAATCACTGAGAGTATTAGTACGATCATTTTACTCACTGCGTGATCACATGCAGCAGAATGGATGTGTATAATGGCACCCATTCATTCCTTAACTACATGAATTCATTAGCACAATGAGATACGTATCCTCTGCATACTGCACTTGACGTCTCTTTTAAGTCGATCCACACACCACACAGAACGTGGTGATGAGCACCGTCTGCGACTTCTTGTCGTCACATTGTTCTGAGAACATGATCATCATTTTCCACAAAAAACAAGAACTTTTTGGCAGCTTCAACACTTGAGGTCTGGCCAGACTGGAACAGTTCTTTACTTGTCCATGTAAAAGGCCCACAAGAACTCAAAGACCACTAGCGAGCTAGCACTGACTTCCTAAAACACGTGTTACAACAATTCATCCTCGTAAAAGCCCAATGCGATCGGCAGAAACCATCCATTTTTCGCAGCAGCCGCGGATTATCATCCCTCACAAATTATGTTTGCTTCTCTGACGTGCCTATGTTTTTTTGACCAACCATTCCTCCCCACTAACCTGTCCACCCATTAGCTCACATTGCGCCACCTACTCGCGCTCCTTGCCAGGTTGACTTTGTGCCAAGCGCTTGACATTTCAATGGCTTTGTTCTTAGCTTGCCTGTTTCGATTCTGGTCATGTTTCGGACTCATGCGAGTTTCCTTGGAGGGGGCTCTTGCCTTAGGTGACCCTACGTATTTTGCATGTCTGCCAAGATTTTACTTCTTGTGTTTCTGTTTTTTTTATACGTACAGTGTCTTTACTGTTAGATATGTTTCCAGAGTTATGGATCAGTTTCCTGAAAGCCTGTGACACCTCTGAGGAATGACCCACAGGGGGCAGGAGGGGGGCAGAGGGGGCCGGCTGGGTTTCTCCATTCTGTGGTGGTACAGAATGCATCTGCGTTTTACTGCCTGATCATGGGTCAATAAAAAAGAGCCCGTGAAGTTCGCTTCCTGCAAAGTGTCAGGCAGTTTACTGCTGGTCAGGGAGCAGCAGAGCTGCTTAAGCTCTGGAAACTGCCTTTTTATCACTGGGACCACAAAGAGTTTATGGCACGAACAAAGTGTTCCTTACATTAATGTGTTGTCACATTAAAACCGTGTCCAAATGTATTCCGCCAGAGATTTAAAGCACTTTTCACTGCATCATCAGTATAAAAGAGATTAAAGTTGGTTATTTTTGGCAAGAGGTTTTCTGAGTGGTAAAAAAAAAGAATGTTGTTTCACCACAATGATCATGACATTTAATCGCACATTCCACAGTTCCCCATTTTTGGCACAATAGTAACACACACTCCAGCACAGTAGGTGTCAGTATTGCGCCTTAAGTTTTTATTGCCAGTCTCGAAGAACAGGAGACGGACAGGACGGACTGAGCGATAGAACTGCACTGCGTTTCAGGCCTCAATGTAAAACGTGTTTTGAGCACAGACACCAGCGCTAACGCTACAGCGCTAACGCTACAGCGCTAACGTTACTACACACCGCACGGTAGACTAGTTCATGTTGTTCAGAGCCGCGTTACAATTTACAGTCCTAACTCACCACATGTCTCCTCACATACCAACAAGAGCGAAACGTTCACCATGTTTTCAAATTTCCCATGAGACACCTCTCGGTTCCAGCGGGCACACATTCAGCAGACGTAATTAATCTTGAGTTGTGAAAAGGACGTGATGACACAGGAAGTCTTTCTTCAAATCTCAGGATCCCTGTGTCGTGTTCAGGTCGAGAACTAGGTACAGAATTACAAGAACCAGGGAGGAGGTGAAGCAGGGCTGGAGGGGGAGCCGTGGTTGTGGTGATGTGTGTGTGTGCGGGTGAGG